ACCACTRGTGTGTTATTACCACAATTCCTTTGCCAACAGAGCCTTGCGCTGTAACACCTCAAATGTGAGGAGCAAGGAGACAAATCTCAGGTCTATTTGTATTGGCGACCCCGTGCCCTTTTTTAAACTATAAAGGTGAACTTTAGGGAAGGAAAAACTATTCTCTCTGTTGGATCTGTATGAAATATTCTTTAYCAAACTTCAAATGTTGAATTTTATTTCTTCTTCTTCTGCTGGAGCAAAGAACACCTTGAGGTTTTTTAAGTAATATTACTTTAGGATAATTTATAAGTGGCTATTCAGATAAATAATGGGCCCTACTTTCCAAGAGCAGCTGAAAGTTCGTATTTTACATTGCCTCTTTGACCTTGTGAAGAGCTCAGCATATTCAGAATAGTTTGGAGTATTTCTGTGTAGCATTAGGGATGCTAAGCGACCTCAAGTCATGTCTGTCTGGTCTAATAAAAGAAATAATTTTCAAGACAAACTAAGTTAAGACTTAATTTAAGCTAACTCCTGTGGTATAGTGATTTTTAAAATCAACAGTAGTGCATTTTTAGGGCTTGCATGTAAGCATTGCCTGGATGGATGCCAGGCTTTTTTTGCTTCAGGAGTCAGGAAAGCTCTGGCTATCCTAAGATGGCTTTTCTCTTTCAGAAACTTTTGAACCATCTGCAAAAAAAAACAGTATTTAGTGCAGGGACCCACCCTGTTCCAAATTATGGTCTTGGTCAAAGAAGGGTGTGTACGGACACCAATGGACAAGGCATGRAAAGAGGAATTCATGGCATCACGTTGATTGGTTTTTGGTCCAAAGCGGGGATTTTCTTCACCAGAATAGCAGAAGTGCTGAGGGCAGAGGAGGTTTTTTTGCTGGGCAGGGACTGGGWTGTGCTGCAGTGGGAGCACCTCAGCAGCTGATCAGGAACGGGGGCAGACATCCCACAGTCTGTCAGCTGCCAGCACAAACTCCTTCTGGAATTATTGCCATTTCAGCACAGGCAGAAGACATTTTTTTAAAAAAAAAAAACCTAAAAACCAACATTTTGTAGTGCCTTTTCTCATTGCACAAAATAAGGAAGCAATAGGCGTGCCCATAGATTTTAAAGAGCTGGGTTTTAGACTTAAATTTTCAGATTTCAACCATGGAAAAATAAAGAGTCTTCCCAGCTTTTGAATCTGTGGCATGAGCTTGCTCACAGCTGCTGTTGAGCTCTGTTTGTAGAGCTGTGAGTCCCCACAGTGGCACTGCAAGCCAGGAGGGTTTTTTCCTTCAGTGAAACTTTCTCTGATGTAATTACATAGCCCATTCTCTGTTTAGTTTTTCTTTTCATAAACGTATGTTTATATATAAGCATTGCATTTGCGCCCAGCAGTCAGAGGGGAATAATATTTCCTGTGTGTTGTTTACTTTTAGGCAGTTAGCAAAAAAAAAGAAAAGGAAAAAAAAAAAAAAAGCAACGTTCACATCTATGCTTTTAATTCTGCTAATGAAGCTGTTATAATGTCAAATAAAATGTCACCGTGGCCATGCCTAATTAGCATTACAAATTCGGTTGAAGAGATAAATGACCAGATCCTTCAGGGTGCAAGTCAGCCCAGCTCCGGGCGCCTGCGCTCGGGAGATTTACAAAGGATGGGTCTGCAGACTGGGGAAATGGAGGCTGGAAAATGCTGCATTAATGGAATTCAAATTGKTAAACTAACCTGCTCTCTCAGGTGTCTCAAGGAGTGGGGAAAAAAAAAAAAACCTGTGAAAACTGCTCTGTTTTGGGATGCAAAAAACCAAATCAGTTGTTTGCAGTCTCTGCTGATGGACGGGGGAAGAGGCACATCCAACCATGTAAAGCTTAATATTCCATGAACAGTTTGGTCCAGAGCCCACTGAAAGTCAGTGGAAAGACTGTCAGCATCTGATCCAAAGGCAATTAGTCAGAAATTAAGGATTCGAGGCTTGTTCTTTGCCGAGTAAACACTGTAGTCAGGTGGTCACGGCTGGTTTATAAAACAGGAGCTGGTGACGTCCAGTTAAAAATTGAGCACTCGTGGAAGGAGAAGCACAGAGGATGTTTCATGTGTAAATGCGAGCACATGTCTAAAAATAGATAATAATTGGCATTATTCAAATAAGCTTTAATTGTCTGTTTGCGTAATTTTGAAGAAAAATTGAGGCAAGTCATGCCATCTTTAACAGAAGCCTGAAGTCGAAGTTAAACAAATTAAAACTGAATGTCTGTATGGGCTTTAATTTTTTTTTAACTGGAACAGTCAAGCTCCACCAATTTCCAAGATGGAGTTTGCCTCAGAACTTTAATAAGGGTGGAGCACAGTTCAATACACAGATGAAATCTCATAAATCTCTTTTCCATGATAACTGCAAAGTTATGCACATCTAAACTATAATTTCAGTTGTCAGAAACCATCGCTACCAAATTACACTGTCTCAGCAATTACTGCTGAGTGATTTAATAAACAATTTGTACAAGTTCCTCATTAAAAAGCGGTAATTGTTGACTTTAAAGGAAGACAGATCACTTAAAAAAAATACATAAAAGCATTAAGAACACTGTAGTATCAAAGGCTGTATATTGAAATGTGGCTTCTGTGTATTTTTTTGCCAACTGCAGCCTACATAGGAATTGCAAATAAACCTTTCAATATACAATTAAGAAGGCATTAAATCCAAAAATCTCCAAGCAAGCATTCCTCTCCCTTGGTCCCAGTACAAAGGAAACATTGATTACTTTTCCTCCCCAGCACCTACAGGGGTGTTTTCATGGTGTGCAGGGAATTAGCTGAAACCTAAGCAGAAATAATGCCTGGTGAATKAATTTTATATCTGCTATTGTATCAGAAAAAAACCCGGGGCAGATAATTTTGTAAAAAAAGGTTTCTGCTTTTACTTTATCTTGGACAGAGAGAACAAGAAGACAAATCCTTTTTACTCCCAACTATCTGCAGTGAGAGAAAAACTAGAGTTAATTTACCTAATTATCTCATAACCTCAGAAAAAAATAAGGTTTGTTGTGATTCAGTTTGCAGGGACTTGTTTATTCAAAGCAGCTTCCCAAGCTTGCCATGCACAGTGCTTCATTTCCCTCCTGTATTTTAATTAATAGGAGATGTTTTCCAGCAGAGAACTCAAGAGATTCTGCACAGGTTAGCTCCTTGTTCACTGAGTAACTTGTCCTTTATCAAAGAGTCATCCCTCTTGTGTCTTGCTGGCAGTACATGATGTGCATCGATCGTGGACAGCGATCCGTTTAATTAGCTTGTTCATGTGTCTGGGTTTAATAAAAAAGGGCAAATAAAAAAAAAGGGCCACAGGTACCAAACGCAAGAGATAAGGAACTGAAAACATCTTCAATTACAGCATTCTTTTCATCAAGCCCCTGAATTTAAACTATCTGGAAAACAGATGATGAGTTCATGTAACTGGAAATCAACACAATGGGAGCTTGCTGCTTATAAACAGTGCATAGCTCTTCAGTTGTTTGGTTTTTTTTGTCATTTCAACCCTGACATCTGTGTTGGAGAGCCCAGGGTTTTATTTAGTGAAACTAGTGTAAATTGACCAGTTATCTTATTATTGCAAATTCAGAGTGATGTTTCTCCATGCAAACTGGAGCCTGTTTTTAACACTGAAGTGCTTTTAGAGCCAAAATGACATTTTATRTTTGAAAACATTTGGTCCCTCACATGAAGCACATTTGCTACTGAGTGATGTAAGAGAAAGGTGAACAGTGTTTAGGAACATAATGGATAGAGAGATAAAATCCAGGTGCCTGACAGGCTAAGATACAAGATAAGATAAAATTTGAGTGGACCTGAATAYAGACAAATGCTGACATAAAGTCACGACAAAGATCTGACAGAGCAAAAGATGCGCTGGAGCAGGAATCACATTTTTTGTACAGTCTCATGCCTGGAAATGAACCCCAGTGTAAAGTGATACAATGTCTTTAGGAAACCTACCCTGAACACTGTCAAATTCTCAACTAAAAGCAAAAGTTGTAGTAGTATGTGGTATGCTAACTGAAAGCCTGGTAGAAACATTTAGGTAGGGCAGAGAATTATTTCATGGCACAGTGCCAGAAATTGCATGGATTTTCAAACTTCTCAAATTCTTATTAAAACTATAAAAAAAAATTAACTTTATTTCTGGGACCAGGGAAGGTTGAGGAATGAGAGTAAGGGAAAAGAGTGGTTCAAATAAAAACAAATACTCATCTTCAGAGAACAGAGGAATTAACCTCAAAGCCTTCCTCCTTTAGCAGAAAAGATAAAGTCAAGGGCAATGATGTTGGGAAACATAATGGGTTAAGTGCAGTAACMTCAATGACATGGAAAAAATAGATATGGAAAAAATATTTATCAAGTATTTTCCAGCTCAGAAATCACAGCCTGCATATCTCAGCCTGTTGTGCATTCGGTAACTTGTCCTGTGTTGTTGGCAGAATACGATGTGCCCTGATTGTAGACTGTGATCCATTTCATTAGTTACTCATATGTCTGTGAAAAATCCCCCAACTACAGGAAAAAAAAAGAAAAAATAAGCTGTAATAAAAAGAACTGAGGGGTTTTCTTCATGTTTTCTTATTGTTTACTAAAGAACTTTTCAGCATCCACTTGTGGATGGGGTCTGAACTCAAGCAGTAAGGAAAAACCTTCTCATCTGTTATGTGAGCAGGGAAATCTTTGCTTGAGGATGCTTAGAAATCCAAAAGGACAAATGGGCAGAAAGAAAAACTGCCCAGATACTCAGATAATCTCAGAGGCAGCCTCATTAATGACTGCTGCAGTTGAGTCAAACTAGCAGAGGAAGCCCATGAATCACAGCCCTTTTAAGCTGCATGGCTATAAATTTTCCTGTTTCTCACACAGTTCTGTTGATTGGCACATGGTTACTTGGAGCTAAAGGAGTGCATAAAAATTAATCAGACTCATTAGCTTGTGCCCAGCGTTTTTCTGATCATTGTCTTTCATATTTTTAACCACAGAACCCCCTTCACCTGCAAATGAGTTTAGAAAACTCGCTGAGCTCCGATGCCGACGTCACTTTCTCCATCCTCGCCATGAACAACTGGTACAACTTCAGCCTGATGCTGTGCCAGGAGGAGTGGAACATCACGGATTTCCTCTTCCTCACGCAGCAGAGCTCCAAGTTCCACCTGGGATCCATCATCAACATCACAGCAAACCTCACCTCCACCAGCGACCTTCTGAGCCACCTGAGGTTTTACCTGGAGAGCATCAAAGACACGACGTCCACCATGGTGATGTTCGGCTGCGACATGGAGAGGACGCGGAGGATTTTCGAGATAACCACGCGGTTCGGGGTGATGCCTCCCGAGCTGCACTGGATTATTGGGGATTCACAGAACGTGGAGGAGCTGAGGACAGAAGGTTTGCCCCTCGGTCTCATCGCCCACGGCAARACCACGCAGCCGGTCTTCGAGCATTACGTGCAGGATGCCATGGAGTTGGTAGCCAGGGCTGTAGCAGCGGCCACCATGATCCAGCCTGAGCTAGCTCTCATTCCGAGCACCATGAACTGCATGGACACAGATGAAAGGAATATCACTTCAGGGCAGTATTTGTCAAAGTAAGTTTTCCCTTTCTTTCTTTTTTTTCCTTTTTTTTTTTTTTTTTTTTTTTTTTTTTTTTTTTTTTTTTTTTTTTTATTTGTTTTTTTTATTCTTCTCCTTAAGTAATATTTGTTGTATGCAAGAAAAATAATTTTTAACGTATGAGTGGAAAACTTGTATGTTCTTTTTTGAAAATAAGCAATAATGTTTTGTCTAAGTATGCGAATTCATCAATTTATTTACATCCAGCAACTGTTGCATATTTTCCCCTCGTTACAACTGGTTTTTAAGTTAAAGATTTTGGGCAGAGTTGGGATAAAAGTTCTTGAGGCTTTTTGGTTTTGGTTTCTTTTGAAAAACRTAATTTTTTCTTCTCAAAACACAACCAAGACCCCAAAAGTTCCTTAGTCCACTCATCCATTCGGTGTCAAAACCTCCCTTTTTCCAAAAAGTCTTGGGAAAGAAACACTGGACTGACTCGCAGTACCCCCAACGACTTGTGATGTTAATTTTGCCTCATTATTCTGGATATTCTGACTGGATCATACCTGAAAAGTAAAACTCAGCAGGAGTCTTCTGAAAGTAACAAGAGGAGAGCAGTTTTATGAACAGGCTTTTAGAGGTTTGAGGAAGGGATAAAGGAAAATGAAAGCAAAAAGAAAACAAATGTATTTATGGGAAACAAATTAATACAAATGTATTAATGGAAAACAAATGTATTAATGGCAAACAATTCATCATGGATGTGGGTGTGTGATCTTCAGCCCCCTGAGGATTACAGTGCCATAATTCACTGTCCATTCCTCTTACAGTGAGATTGATTCCCTCCTCTGCTCTTGCCTGCTCACGGGAGAGTCCTTGTTGGTGGAACAAGGCATTAAAATTTCAAAGCCTCATCTTGCCTTATAGCTTTAATTAGTCTTAGAGCTTTAACTCTGCTTCTTGGGGTAATTCCACCAGCCTGCTTCTTCATAGGTCCGTAAAATCACAGAATGGTTTGGGTTGGRGGGGACCTTAATTCTGGCAGTCTGAAGCCATTCACTCTCATCCTGTCAATAAAAAGTYCCTCTCCATCTCTGTTTGGAGTCCCTTTAGGTACTGAGAAGCTACTATAAGGTATTCCAGAGCCTTTTCTTTTTCCCTTGCCAATTCTAGTCCCCTCCCCAAAAAGAGATGTGTAATGACCAAACTATCAAGCTTGAGAGAAAATAAAATAATTTCGTTCACTCATTCTTAAATAGATTACAAAGATCTATTTGCTGCTGGAGGGTGTAGTACTGCTAAAGATCCAATGAGCAGTTCTTGTAGCAAAGCACACGAGAAACAAACAAAGCTGAAATGATCAAATGACACATTTTGGACCCATTGTTCAGACTGGAGAGACTTTGATAAAGCTTTCATGCAGTTATCACGGACTGTCAGCGTGAATGTCAGCTCCCATATATTGACACAGCATCAAGAAAACTCATTCAGCTGTCACACTCRAAGATCTGGCCCTTCACCTTCTGAAATTTGTGCAGACTGTCTTTTCCACACACTGGATCTGTCAGCAGCCCTTCCGAAAAAGCGCCGCTCGGATACTGCCAGCGTCTCTGTGCAATACTTGTAATTCCCAAAGATTCACTTCAGAGATTTTCTAGCTTAAGGAGCCTAGTCAGAGCCTCTTATCTGYTTCCTGAAGTTATCAAGTAAAGGAGTTTTCAGTTGAAGTCCCTGGCATGAGTTCCACTGGTGCTGCTCGCGGCGCATGCAAATGCTCGGCAGCCGCAGCTGCTTGCGTGCGAAGCAAAATGTTGCTAAATCGTTTATTTTGATTCATGTTCTGTCACTGGGAGAAACACAGAACACGCAGATCAGCAGCCAAGGTGAGCCACCAGCTCGATGAGGKGCACATTGGAATGAAACTGAATCTCYCAGRGTCACAGGACAGGTRCAGAGGGCTCGTTCTGCCCTCCTGRCTGTGCTGATTTCRGGGWTCGSTGGGCAGCGATTYCACYGCTCTCATTCCACCTCCAAAAAATTAATCTAACACATTATTCCTTCAATTACTCCCAAAGTTCCTGCTCTGCAGCATTCTCATGCCCAGGTCATGCCATATTATCAACATGGGGATTAATTCATAAAAACTTYGCTGATTCTACGTGAGGACTTGTCTGACTCAGTTTTGGCAATTTTATGAGTTGCTCRCAGTCTTTTGTGCAAAACTCCTAAAAAAAAAATTGTGAGTTGCTAACAGTCTTTTGTGCACAACTCCTAAAACAAAAATGTTCATGCAGGCCCATCTACACACATGGAATGGTTTTAATGTTACTGCCACAGCGATGGCTTCAGCCTCTACGCCCAGCAAGGCTTGTAAAGAAGTTGCACATTTTTTTTACAGAGACTGAGGGAGATAAAAGTAAGAGAGAGATAAAACCCAAACAAGTTTTATGGGCACATAAACCTGCCTTTAGCACTGAAGATTGCCTGCTCCCATAAACTTTGTCTTGATGGTGTTTACATACACAAACAGGGGAGTTACACCATCAGATAGGAGTCTTGGGTTAGGAGGAAAGGAGGGGACAAACAGTGGCAGGATTTAAAAAGGAAAGGATTTAAAAAATGGAAACCACATTCATAGCTTACATGCATTTATATTTATAAACAGCTATCTGCCTTTTCAGGTGTGGTCTCCAGAGCCAGGCTAACACATGTACAGATTTTCTGCAATTATTGCCTGTATCACCTTTCTCAAAAATCAATTTATTCAAAAGAGATCTTTATAAGAAGAATTATGAGGYTGCCTCAGAGAAGGCTGTTACACACAGGACAACACTCAAAATTAAAGCACTTACTTTCCTAAATTTACCTCTGCAAAGGGCAAAAATTGGTATGACCTTGAGACTTGATCAGTCCAACTGCTGGAACCCCATCAAAAATCATCAAGATTCATCTAAACAAAAGGTAGAGACTGGACAGAAGTGTGCATGTGCACACACTTGCAATTGATTTACCCTTTTCAAATCAGTTAAAGGTTATTTTTTATCCCCTGTAACTATTGATAAACAGTTAACACTGCTTAAAAGTTTATGTCTYCCCTATTGAGGCTGGAGTGACAGCCTTTATACTTCTTCCAACAGTTACTTCCACCTAATTCTTGGGGCTAATGTGGAGTGCTGTGTTCTGCTTCGACAGCTGAATGGTCTGTCTTCTGAATGCCTCTTACTGAAAAAAATAAAAAAAAAAAAAAAAAAAAAAAAAAAAAAAAGAAGCATCCATGACTTGCCTTGCACTGCATTAGTAGCAATTTCAGTCGGTTGTTTTTAGTGGAGGCTTGTGCAGATGGTTCAGCTGGCCCTGGTGAAAAACAAACCAGAAAGGATTTGCTGCTCCAAACACTCAATTCCTGCTGAGTTCCCTGCTCCTTTATCCATCTCGTTTTAGCCTTTTTGGTGATGGCTTGCCAGAAGCTGAATTCAACACCCAGGGAGGAAAACCACTAGGAAACACCGCCTTCCCATAYGAAGGGAATGCACAACTTTATTGTCAATATCTGGAACAGTAAAATCCCGGAATTCTCAAAGCAAAATGTGCAAAACTGGCACGCTTCACGAGATCTACTTCAATGGCAGCGCTGCACTTCTAAGAGCATTACTTTCTGCMCTTTTTTAAAAAAAAACCTGCTTTTTTGGGGTGTTTATTTTTGTAAGAATTAAAACCGACTGTCCTAGAGCAACCATCTTTCAGTTTCTTGTCTTACTTTATTTTGAAGTGTCTAACAGTGATTTACCAATGCCGAATTTGCATTTTTGAATCCAGATTGGTTCACTTGAGAGTGCTTGAAAGCTGTTGACAGCACTTCAGTAGCCCCTCTTATGTAAGCTAGATCTTACTGAGATTGTAGCATTTTTCTTGGAAGGACATTTCATACATAATTTCCACCCTTCCATTTTCATATGTATTTTTATCTAGGAAAGTGACAGCAGATCTGGTGAGTTCAGCTTACAGCTAACCTGTCTTTCATCAATTTATGAGGGAAAGGTAGCTGAAAAAAATAACTGTTCTCGTACTCATTTTTTCTAGTAAGTAAGGAAAAAGGAAAAAAAAGTCTTTCCTGAGGAGTTTTCATTTGCATTTTATGTAGGGGGGAATTTCCACTAAATTTATTTGTAAATTGTGTGGCTGGTTCGTTGTGCCACAGGATCTGTGTGCTGTTGATGGTCCAGGTGTTCAGATATCAGGTATTCAGGTATCCCCTCCTACCCTCTCCAGCATAAAATCATGATTTATTTTTCTGGTAACCCCTTCTTTCTCCTTTCAACAGGTTTTTAGCCAACACAACTTTTGACGGTCTCAGCGGCCGCATTAAGGTGAAGGGCTCCTCCATCATCAGCTCRGAAAACAACTTCTTCATCTGGAACCTGCAGCACGACCCTGTGGGGAACCCGATGTGGACGCGCCTGGGGAGCTGGCAGGAAGGGAAGATCGTCATGGACTATGGGATATGGCCAGAGCAGGCTCAGAGACACAAAAGCCACCTGCAGCACCCCACCCGGTTGCACCTCAGGGTGGTCACTCTGATTGAGCATCCCTTCGTCTTCACCAGGGACGTGGATGATGAAGGGCTTTGTCCAGCGGGGCAGCTGTGCCTGGACCCKCTGACCAATGACTCAGGTGTGCTGGACAACCTGTTTGAAACCCTCCAGGGGGGCAACGACACCGTCCCCATCGAGCTGAAGAAGTGCTGCTATGGTTACTGCATTGACCTGCTGGAGAAGCTGGCGGAGGACATGAATTTTGATTTTGACTTGTACATTGTTGGGGATGGAAAATACGGTGCCTGGAAGAACGGCCACTGGACAGGGCTGGTGGGAGACCTTCTTGCTGGCACCGCTCACATGGCAGTGACCTCATTCAGCATCAACACTGCCCGAAGCCAAGTGATTGATTTCACCAGCCCTTTCTTTTCCACCAGCTTGGGGATCCTGGTGAGGACCAAAGACACCGCAGCTCCCATTGGAGCCTTTATGTGGCCACTTCACTGGACTATGTGGCTGGGGATATTCGTTGCTCTTCACATCACAGCTATTTTCCTCACCTTGTATGAGTGGAAAAGTCCTTTTGGAATGACCCCTAAGGGAAGGAACAGGAACAAAGTGTTCTCCTTCTCCTCCGCCCTCAATGTCTGCTACGCGATCCTGTTTGGGAGAACATCTGCCATCAAACCCCCCAAGTGCTGGACTGGAAGGTTTTTGATGAATCTCTGGGCTATTTTCTGCTTGTTTTGTCTGTCGACCTACACAGCCAACCTGGCTGCTGTCATGGTGGGAGAGAAGATTTATGAAGAACTTTCTGGAATACACGACCCAAAGGTAGAGTCTGTCTGTTAACTCAGCCTTTTCTTCTTTCCGCTCAAAATTCACTGCTGCAGAATTTAGGGTTTCTAACAAAATCAGAGAGCAAACTTGGTGTAAAACAGTGTTTCCACTACAATTAGTTACCACATGATGGCATTTCTGTGATGAAAGGGCATTTAAAAACCCACAGAAGTGTAGGAGGAAGGATTGCAAAGGCTGAAGCCGATGAGAAAGGTGAAATATTCTGGTGTTGACTACTGTAAAGAAGAAAAGTAGTTTCTACATGCACATTAAGGGTTTGTGTCCAGTTCTGAGCTYCCTTTGAGTGAAGTTGTTTAAATCATTTGGATGATTCTTGTTGTTCTGGGATCAACAACTGCACAGACCAAGGCTAAATCGTTGATATTCTCTAGGCAGGATTTTTCAAGTATTTCACTGGCCATAATGCTGATGGCAAAATACCCCAGGAGAGTGACCACAAGGTTCTGACTTTGTGAGTGCAGTGCCTGGCTCGCTCCCTGCGATGTTTACCAGGTGGTTTCTACCAAAAAATGTTTTAAACAAAGAGCAGCAGTTTCTGGGGCTGGCCCCAGGCACTCAAAAATTGATTTATGGCTTAAAGCAAATTGCTTCTAATAATCTGCCCTTCCCCTCTCAGAAAAAAAAATACCATAAATATTACATTAATGTCTTCATCCACACAAGGCACTGATTCTTGCAAAAGTTTGGGAATCATGTTTTAGCATTCTGAAGAAGCAGATGAGAGCTTTCAGCTGAATTTTCCCAGCTCCAGGGATATCTCTGTTGGGCTGTTGTGTGAAGCCATGATGTTAGTTTGAAAATGAAGTTGGYCCTCCACTCTTTGCATGGGCATCTCCTCATCCATCAAATCAAATTCCATCCTGGTTTTCAGCATAATTATCATGGCCACGTGGAGTTTTTAAAACAGGTATTGGGAAACCTCCTGTGTTTTGAAGAAAATTAAATTATTCTAAAGCTGTGCTGTTAAAGATCAGTGCAGAATGTGAGGTGCTGCAAACACAGGTCTTGGTCCAGAACAGAAGCATTGATAACTCATGGTCAGTAACCTCAGTGATTCCATTAAATCAGTGGGATTGCTGGCYTTTTCCTAGAAAAGCACTTCTCTGATTCCGGGAATAAATCTGAGTTTCTGAGTAGTTGCCAGTTCCCACTGTGGGAATAAGACAGCACAGATTTTAGGGAAGAAGAAAATTGCCTGCCATTTCATGAGCTGCAGAATAGTTTCATGTATTTCATTCATGCATTTGCCTCCAAACTCTTAGTCAGAATGCGTAGTTGGAATAGAAAATGCCCTGGTTTAGCCTCACWGAAACCCTGAGCTGTATCTGTTCAGAGTTCTCTCCAAGAGTTAAAGCTTAGGATGTTTGTGGCACAACAGTAACAGAGTTACAGGAACCACTTTTTAGTTAGTTCTTAAAGCATTTAAAGCACTTTTTAAATGTGATTTAAAGATTTTGTGCTTGGGCTTTTCTTCCCGGATATGTTTACCTCTTTCTTTTCAGTGGTGGAGCCTCATTTCAAAAAGAAGGTGGCAGAAGGGAGAAATAACCTTTTTAATTTAAATATACTTCTAAACATTCTTCTGCTGCTCTCAGTATGCATGTGCCCTTTGTACTGTGCTTTTGAAATTTATTTAAAAAACAAAGCCCAAAAATAGAGGAGCAGCCTTCTCGAGGTGATGTAAGACATGTAATTTCTTCAGGCTGTCAGCCATAAATGGCAAATCCCATCTGAGGTTGTGAACAGTCAGGAAGGACAGAATTAGAGCTATCGCAGTTGGACCTTTAAATGCACTAATGATATAGAAGAGAATATAGAAATATCATCAAGCTGCTGAAGGGAGGAGCAGCCAGTGAGACAGAAACCAGAGCAGAAGGCAGGCGGTGAGAGGAAGGAGAATTAATTTACTGGAACGTGTCTTGAATTTGGGGGAGCTTGCTGTGTATTTTCTTTGTGAGAATCTTACTAAAACCACAGTCCTGCACCCTCAAAGGTGGCAGGTCAAATTTCAGGTGAACCTTTTACAACAGGAGCTACAACAGGAGCCAMAACAGGAGCCAGTAGGTTGTCCTGCTGCCTTAAAATCTAATTATTCTAAGAAAACACAAAGTTTTGGGCCACAGCTGCCCCCTTTCCCCTCATTTTCTAACTCTGCAGGTTTTAGACATCACCTGTTGCTGGTGGAAATTGGCAAATGCAGATTTTGGGTTTGCTGGAAGATGCTCAGCCTCCTGTTTGGGGCTGGTCTGATCACAGAATCACACAATGGTTTGGGTTGGAARAAACCCTAAAGATCACCTGGTTCCCCCCCTCCACCTGATTGCTCAGTTATAAATTAYTTACTCTTTGGTTGAGCTACTCCTAAGTCCTAGAAATAAAACTTTTTACTCTGCAAAACAGCTCATGGCAAGTGATTCTGCAGGATTTCCCTGGGGAATGGGGTTTTAGTGGCAAAAGCGACTTGAAGCAGGGATTTGGCTTTCAGATTTTTCATGCCAAGACACATATTGGGGTTGCACCATGGAGTCCTGAGTGTGTTTGGTAATTCAGGTTATTTGAGGCAGAAAAACTCTGAAAGCTCATGGCACAGGAGAAATATTTCAGATGTGCTGAGATGGAAGCAGGCAGCAGGAGAGGAGCTGGACATATTTTCCATGATGTGGTCCAACGCCTGGSTTTATTTTTTTGCAAAAAGTGTTACTCTTTCAACAATTTAATGAGCTGTTTGGGTGACTTTTGTGTCACTTGTTTTAAAACTGTCCAGAAATACAGCTGGCAAGTAATTGCAGATGAGCTTTAGCAACACCAAATCACAAAAAAGGAAAGGTCAAGCTACTCTATGTAGGACTTTTTCATCATTAAAGGCATGATTCAAATACTGCTGCTTGTAATGATATTTTCCCTCAAGTTCAGCAGTTTTTAGAGTGAGGCCATAAATGTTGTGTGTTTATTGATAAATTTTCTTCCTGGAAAAGAAATTTTTGTGAGAATTGCACTAAAAGAAATTACTGCTATGGTCTTTTCTCTGCAGCAGCCTGAGAGAAATCATTATAAGGGGTGCCACTTGAACTGCTMTGTGTTAAACAGATAATGAAGCAGAATTTCTTTAAATACGCATTAAATGCGTTAAATTGTATAGCAAAAAAATCAATTTACAAACCCAGTGGAGTTAACAGAAATGTTACTGCTGCCATGGGGTTTGGTATTAGTGCAGGACTGCAGGGTTCTTTTTACAATTAAAAGAAGGAACTACAGAGCATGTGTTTCTGTGAAGGAAGTTACTGGGCACGGGAAGGTCATGATTCACAACATCACAGCCTGCTAATTAATACATGGTGCTTTTCTGAGTGTTAATGAGTCAGTGAAGGATTGAAACTCAGGAGGATTTTCAGTGTCACAGGGAGCAAAGTGGAAAACTCTSAAGACAAAAGCTCCAGCCAGAATAAAGAATTGCAGAACTGTCTCACACAGGAATGAAAGGCACCTGCAATTTATGGAGGTGAAATCATGGCTCCTTGAACTTCCCCATGCAATTTATGGTGGTGAAATCTTGACTTGTTTAGCTTCCCCATCACCTCATTAAAGATTTTTTGGTAAAGTTACAGCTTTGGAGGCTCAGAATCTGTCCAGCTCAGACCTGCATCATTCTGATACCCATTTTATCAGACAATGCACTGCAGTKTTCTGCAAATCAAGTTTCCTTTCCCATTGAAAGGTGCTTTTTTTTAATGCCTTCTTTCTTACAATTATCTTTTTATCTTTTAATCATGTTAACCCTTACTGCTTGAGGTCACTATCACTGACTTTTGGCCACTCTTCACTTCACCTCATTGTTTGATCCAAAGAATTTCAGGGTGGGTGTGGAGGAGAGGCAATCCTGCTGTCTTCATTCCATGTGGTGCAGGTCATGAAGGTTTTTTTTTCTTCAGGCACCAGAAGGAATTAATGTGGTTTAGCATTTTCTCYTCCATATGGACGTCAGTTTCTTACTCTCAAGCTGCACATACTTAAATACCTTAAAGAGCATAGCATTTTTTTTTGGAAAAAATGAAAGTGAGCCCACTGCCAGAAATAGCAAATGGATCGTAGGTGGGGCTCAGACCCTCGCTGGAAATAATACAAGTGGCAGAATTGCAAGAAGGAACTGGGCAGGACTTCTGTCTCCAGAAATTCTCTGACCAGAAATCCTCCACATCTCTTTGGCAGCACAGACACGTTCTCAGCCACACAGCTCTCCTTCCCTTGCTTGTAATTTGGAAAGGATTTCACCTGCCTGACAGCAGCATTAGCCCTGTTTTACAGGGAGCAGGCAGAAGAACATGCTGGATGAAGTGACTCCATCTGGAATGTTTTTACAGCTGCTTTGTGCTGCTGAAGCRGAGTTGGAGACAGTGATCTGCTGCCTTCTGGGAATTGCATCCTTTCTTTTCACTCAGTCTACCCCTTTTTCCTACAATAATTTACACTTCCTACCTTGCAGTTYTCAGCTCTCCCGGAATAAATCACAGCTCCAAGATCCCTGTGTCCAGAAAACTCTTAAAATGCTATTAAGAAACGGGGATAAAGATACCTGCAAGTTCATATTCTCCAGAGTGCTCTTCTTATGGGGCTTTTTTACACTACCCAGCAACTCAATCATCAGAGCAACCCTCAGAAATTAACCACAGACCTKAGTGCCCAGTCTCATCCCTGAGCTGAACAGCTTTTCCAACACACAGAGGAGCAGGGCAGGTCTTACAATTAATTATCAGCGCTCACACAGGGACTGTCAGTACAAAAGTTCATGTTTTTGAGCAGAGTCACAGTTTCCTCGTTGCAATGAGGAGAATAAACCATCAGCAGTGGTCTGTGCATTTGTGTCCATATTGAAGCTGCTCATTGACTTCAGTGTCAGCTTTTGTGCCAGCTGACGACCTCACCGAGCTGGATTCAAAGTGACAGAATTTTCAGAAAATTCTGTCATTATCCTGGCAAGGGAACAATCAGGCTCCACCAACACTTCTCACAACCGGAGCAGCAAAAGCTTTGATTCAAATGTATTCTGCAAACACCCTCTCCTGGAGGCCCTGGGAATGACTCTGCTTCCAGAGCCTGAACACGTAGGACAGTTCCTGATGAAAAAAAACCTACACTTCCAGAAGTTGAGCTGTGAATTTTCATCTGCTAAAATCTGAAATTCATGCACTTCGCTGTGCATAATTTTCTTTCGTCTCCCTCTGCACCCCATAAATATTCACCAGTTAGTTTTTGAAAAGTCTTGCAGATAAGTAGGGAAAGCCCATGTACAGTTTTAGATTGTTTTGTGGCTGGGTTTTTTTGTTTCTTTTTAAATTCCTTTTATTTCTTTTACTTGGTTCATTTTCCCCTGAAACTTTGCTCAGCACTACCAAATGTTCCTATTTTGTGACTGGGCTATGAGAAATTAATTACTGGCTGGAAGACCACCTAAATATGTAGGTGGCATAAAGTGAAATGCTTTGTATGCCAGAAACAGAAGTGGCATTGTAAAAYAGCAGATTCCTAAAACCACACCAGTTTTCCACTTAATGCCACCCGTCTCCAGGCACTGGAACTGAGCAGATTTTTTCGATTCTGCAGCAATTCTGCTGATACTCGGGGTGCCCATTAAACATCACACTTGGGGTTATGCCAGGTAACCAGAACTGTCGTGGGAGTGAGCTACTAAAACCTTTTGCACCAGAGTTTTYCCTCAGAAGCTGTTGCAAAACTTAGGGACAGTGTTTTCAGCCATGTTTCTGTACCCTATTAAAATTAAAAAAGCACTGCTGTAGGTGGTGTTAAAAGCTAAATCCCAGCTGGCTCTGTCCCTGCAGTGAGTGGTCACTGGTGCTGCTCTCAGCTGCATCCTGGATTGCCTTTTTCTTCATTTCCTTCAAAAAATTGTTCGTGGAGTTGAATTTAGGCGCTGAAGAGGCCACCTGAATGAAAGATGAAATGCTTCTCATGAGCTTAATCACTGTTTATTTCCCTTCCCAACAGCTGCTCTGTTTAGATCTTCCTTGTTTCCTCACAAACCTCAAACTCCATGGGGTAGGAAGGCAATATTGTATTGCCTGAATTTTTGAAGCTGAGACCATAATAATTCTTGTGTACTGAACACCTGGTGTTCGTACAGCAAAATTAGAGTGGCAGCCAAATGTGATGCAAACCTAAAAAAAACGATAGAGAACACAACAAGGTAACAGCATCGAGGGGGATAAAAGTCCTTGAGGCAAATCATCTGGCTTTGCAGCACTGAAAAGTCAAAACAAAAGCCAGAAATTCCTCAAAAACACAGCCTTGAGTGTGCCAAGGTTAACTTCTGGCAGCATCTCAAGCATTTTTAGTTTTAAATCCCCAACCTGCACAGGAGATTTCTGGTCCTGTTCCCTTTCCAGCTRGGATCTAGGTGTTCTCCCTGGCTGGCAGCGTGGGGTGCAATGGCAATGCATTACATAAAACCCAATTTTTGCCAAGTTATGCAAACCCCCTGTCATTCAGGGCTGTGTTTTCCTGTTTTCTGCCGCTGTGCTTTCATCACATTGGTGTTTTCACGCATAATTGGCACCCCAAGCCACAGGCGCACGCAGATGCCCAATTCCTCCCAACATCCTCCCAAATAAGATGAGCTCTCCACTTCCCACTCAGCAGATGTTTTAAAAACAGCAGACAGCAGCCAGGATGATGCAGAAGTGAGGGGCCAAACYGAGGAACTGGTAGCTGCAGTGTTTGCTCTCGGCAGAGAGGAGCACAAACATCATCTGTCTGGGAGCACACAAGGAACAGAAGGTTCTGAGAAGTCCCAGAGCTTTTTCTGGTGTTGTCTGAGAAACTGGATGTTTTAAAAAGCCCTTGAGTTTCCTGAAATGTTGCATGGCCTCCCTGTCTCRGGGCTCAAGTGACCCAATAACCATTTCACCTCGTCAGAGCTTGGCAGCGCTCACGTTTGCCCTGGTTTTCTTTCATGGTGTAAGGAAACATCACCTTCTTGTTTTATTCTGAGACTCATTCTTGGGAATTCTGGCACAATCCTTGTGTCCTGCAGTGGATAGGACACATAGACACACTCCTGAGAGGTCCCAGGGACAGCAGAGATCACAGGRACACCAGCTCCAGAAAGCCCAGGGAAGTGGTGGAGTCACCAGCCCTGGAGKRATTTAAAGGATGTGTAGAKGTGGCTTTTGGGGRCATTTCASCCCATCACATTTTAATGATGGGCTCAACAGTGCTGGGTTAGTGTCTGTTGGGGTCTATCCTAAAGGACTTTCTAAGCCTAAATGGTTTTGTGATTCAATGATTGAAAGAAACTTAAATATCTTTATTTGAGATACTGATATTTTGCAGTACCTGTAACAATCTTCACATCTTGTCCAATGAATTGCCAAGCCAGGAATTCTGACTTTTGACTTCAAAGCCTCCCTCCAGGTCTAAAAAAACCTTGTTCTTCCCATTTCTCACAGCCATAGATGTCTGATTTTGGAGGGACCTTGTAAGGCTAACTGAGCTGATTGCCAAGAAAACTCATGTCTGGAGATAGGTCTGCAGATGTTTMTTTTTAAAATAAATAAATATCTGCATTAAATAAGTAAATGTCTACATTAATTTATTTTTAATCATGCTTAAGTCACCAGCAAACCTACAGGTGTTCTGGGCACAAAAAAAGTGTCAACATTTCCTTTCTCTGCTTTGTGATGGTTATTCACTTTTGACTGCAACTGAGCTTTGAATGAAAAAACACAATTTATGCACAGGAGAGTGCACAGCCTCCACATGGCAGAAATACSTCTAATTTCAGCACCTGTTTTGTTTCAATGAAATAGTCTTTATATTTGCTATTACTATGTATAAAACTGCTCCCTTGAATTACCAGTTAAAAGAAAAACAAAAAGAAGCACAGAATCCATTCTTGAGTCTTGAAATGTTGATTTTTCAGAGTTCATGATTTTTCCTAAGCTAAAGCCAGCCCTAGGCTAAAATATTATTGGTTTGCAGAAAACAGAAAAKACTCTTTCACTATGTGAGAAACACAAAAGGAAGAGGGCATGAGAAACAGAAAATATTAGAAAAAAAGAGACAACTAATGTGTCAGGACTCACAGGAAGGCTATGGCATTTACCTGTCCTGTCAGAGCACAGATTATTTGTGCTTTCCATCCTGTCACATAATCTTTTCAGGAGGGGAGCAGTGACAAGTGATGAGTCTTGTTTCCACCCTCAAGTTTTTTATCTTCTGTTGAGGCAAACAGATCAGCGAAGCGCTTTTGGCAGAGATGGCACTGCCAATCCMCAGAGCTGCAAGCAAACAGGGAGAAAACAKGAACCCTTGAAAGGCACAGAGGATYAAAACAACWATTGACATTTATCCTTTGTGAAAAATGATCAAATGTGAAGCTGCAGGAGCATAATGGTGCTTGAAAAAAAGCTCAAGTGCTGCTCCCACACTCCCAGGCAGGAACATTTCCCTCTGTGCCCACCGTCCTTCTGGCCAGCTCCAGACTGCTTGTCCCACACCACAACACCTCAAAAAAAATATTCCAGGGCTCCCTCTGTGCTCACAGAGCTGCTCTGAGCTGCATCCAGGTCTCGTTCCTGCACTGATTGAATTTTTGGCAGGAAAAATAGYGATATAGTTTCACCAGAACATTTTCACTGAGAATTGAATTTTATTTTCACCCCAACACAAAAAAACCCAAGTGCCTAGGCTTCAAAAAATGCATAACAGGTGAACAACATTAAGTCCCCTCATCAGCTGTAAAGAGGGATCATTTTATTGCAAAAACCTGAATTTTTTAAACTCTTAGTTTGTTAAAAATYCACATTCTTGTGAAGCACAACAAACATGTTTTAAACAACCACCATAAACCACTCCAGGAGCACGCACTGGTTGTGATACACCAGGTATCTCACTGGTTCTATCACTGTTTTTTCCAGGGTTGTGTGACTTGTTTTTCACCTCTAGTTTAGCTGAGGCATCCTCAGAATGCTCCTCTGGTTAACAGAGGTGAGCAAGGATTTCACATGGGATAACAAGACCCTCGTTTTGTTAGGTTTTTCTTGCAGCAGAAATGAACTTTATTACACAGCAGAAATGAACTGAGGGTGCCAGTTCTGCAGAAGGTTAAATCCCATCCTTAAGGAGTCAGTGAAACACGTTTTGCCAAAACAAATCAGGCTCTGTGTCCTACCAGAGCCCCAAAAAGTGGATGGCAGACAAACCAGAGGCTTCTCATAACACTTCTGAAACATTGCCCAGTCTGGAGACAAATAATCCTAATAAACACCCAGATTTGGGTGTTCAGGGTGTTTCACAGGGATTGTTTTTCCCAATTGAAGCAAACCTTGAGAACACACAAGCCATTTATCCCCCTGGTAAACCTTTCCAGGCATTTTCCAGGTTAAGAGAAGCTGCCTGCAGGAAAACACCCAGACAGGCAGGTTTGGAGAACACCAAACATTTCAGGGGAGCTGCTGCTTCACCAGGACCGAGCTGCCAGCTGAGACAGGAGTCAAAATAACCCTGCTGACCCCTCTGCTGTCCTTTCCCAGCTCCACCACCCATCCCAAGGGTTCCGTTTTGGCACGGTGAGGGAGAGCAGCGCCGAGGATTACGTGCGGCAGAGCTTCCCGGAGATGCACGAGTACATGCGGCGCTACAACGTCCCCGCCACCAACGACGGCGTGGCCTTCCTCAAGTGAGCCTCACACTTTGATAATGATGCAGTGTGGTTGTTAAAATTAATCAGGGAGATGGCTGGAGTAAGGGGAAAATGATGYCAAAGTCAGCGGGGATTTTTGGTGRATAGTAAATGTGGCAGAGAGGGGCGGTRCGGTGGAGAAAAGTGATGGGGAGAGAGAAAAATACTGAAAATATCACCACTKCATGGATCCTCTCCTTGAGGTSRCACTGATCCTGTCCTTCTGGTCTTCCCAGTGCTGAAGGTCCCACAAAACACGGAGTTTTTGGGGATTAACACCCATTCCAGCCAGGTGGGAATGCCCAGGGACCTCCCCTGTGTTCGAGGGTGCTGTCAGTGTGTGAGCTAGAAAATCCCGGAAGGTTTCTGAGTATGGAAATCCTCCAAAAAAAAAACATCCAGTCCAAGCAAAAGTTGGCAATGAGGCTCCTCGACTTGGTGGGAGGCAAGAYGATTCTCAGAGAGGAGCCTTAATTTGTCATTTAAATGAATAAAAGAATCACTAGACTGGTAAAATAATAAAAGTCTTACTGCTTTAGGGAGTCATCATGTCAGCATGTCCCAGAGACATTTCWGCTTAACAGTCTGGGGTCACACAGCTCTTCCAGGAAACAGGAGAGGTGGTAATAATAAGCCTGAAATCATTAATTCATTTTATTTGTAGGAGTTGCTTGGCAGATGGCCTGAAAACTTCTCATCAGAAGTTTTTTCCCATTGTTTCCTGTTATATTTTTTTTTTCCCCAGAGCCAGGCTATTGATAATTAAGGTACATGGCAGTTCTTTGGGTTAAACTGGAGTCAGTGGGTTGAAATCAATAAATCACATCAGAACATCCAAACTTTTATGGGGATGGGAATGGAGGGTGCAGTCCCTGGACTGGACTAGAGCAGGCCCTGCAACTGTTCTTTTGTATCATTTTATGCAAGCATGCTGTTCAGAAATTATTATTTGTAGTAGTAAAAATTTAGTCACCCTCATTCATGAAGGCAACCCAAGGAAAAGCTGAAATGAAATTGAAATTTTTGTGTTTCAGGGCAACAATACTTTGTGGCAGCAAAATAAGTCCTAAAGACATTGCACTGCCCTCAATGCACAAAGTTTGCATTTCATGCAGAATTCTCTCCTAAATACAAATCAGTTTTCACTTTTAAGTGCAGGTGTGCAAATGTTCAGTGAATGYCAGTGATTCTCAAGAGTGTGAAGTGATTGTGTCTCTGCCTTTGGTGCTGAWCACAGGCATGATCCAGAGAAACTCGATGCCTTCATCATGGACAAAGCACTCCTGGATTATGAAGTGTCCATAGACGCCGACTGCAAACTCCTGACGGTGGGAAAACCCTTCGCCATTGAAGGTAAAAAACAGATTTATGACATTCTGCTCCCACGTTCCTCATGTGTTGTGTTTGGGTGGTTTTTTTGTACTGGGGTGAAAATAAAATTCAATTCTCAGTGAAAATGTTTTGGTGAAACTGAGAATCCCCCTGAGGATCGTGAAGCTAAAAGCTCCTGCCTTTTCTTGTGTTTTTTTGAGTTCTCACAACCCTTGTGCCACCTGTTTTTGTTTTAGTGGAAAAACCCCATGCCAGGGGTTGGAAGTTCCCCTTTTCTTCCCTTTTGGGGCAATCACTCTGACTGCTCCCATCACAAATTTAAAAAAAAAACTGTTTTCAAAAACCTGCTAAATTCCTTTTGGAAAGGTCAGCTCTGCTGAAGTAAAACCAAAAGCTTCCACAACTTTGGATTAGGTARATTAGATTTCAGCAGGGGAAAGAGAAACAAACAAATAAACCTCAGGCTGTRTGATTTTGGATGGCTGGACTTGGTATCACCCAATTACAAAGAAATACATGCTCAAAATGTGCTATTTATGAGTCCTAGCTATGCCAACTCTGAAACAAATACTTCCTGTGTTGCTGTGGAATTTTTTTTTTTTAAGGAGACAGTCTGAAATTTTGAATTCTGAGCAGAAAAAACAAAAATCCACAGTGGACTAGAAATTAATCTCTGCAGGCAATTGGCATGCAACTTCACGTCTTGCAGGCACCAATTGTATTTGTTTAGAATTTCTAAAGTCAAAYCCCAGAATGTGCAAATAGAAATGCCACATTTGGAGTTACTGAATACATTCTCTCTTACACAAAGTCCTGGAAGACAACACTGGCTAAAACCTGCATTTTTTAGTGTCTGAGGTCCGTGTCAGTGCCAGAGCAGAAGGGCAGGAGCTGGAAGAGCAGTCCCCAGGGTTTAAATTGCYGTGTGATAATGATTAAAAATGTTGCTGTGTATATTTACATGCATAGGGCTCCTTGTAGGAGGAAAACATCTGACACTGCAGTCACATCCATCTCTGACAATGGAAAGGGATCACAGGATGGTTTGTGGGACATTTGGACCCTCTGGCATTGCTGGAAGAATCCATGGCAAGGACATGCAGAAGTCTGTATTTTTAAAAAAAAAAGAAAAGATTTATTCATCCGTTGCATCCATCTTAATTTTTTGAACCTCCCACTTTACGTATTTTTCACGTGGGTGTGATAATTTTGAAATTCCTTATTCTGTTTGGGTGACTTTATTTTGCACAGCACGAGGTCTCATCATTCTCAGGCCACAGGTTTTGAGCTGGSTGGCTGCAACAGAGAGCCAGCTTGCTCCTCCACGCTGAAATGAGCACATTTTGGCAAAAAAATAAGTGAGAAAAAGACATGACCATGCTATTTTCCCCTTCYAGGATATGGCATCGGCCTCCCCCCCAACTCCCCACTCACCTCAAACATCTCTGACCTGATCAGCCAGTACAAATCCCACGGCTTCATGGATGTTCTGCACGACAAGTGGTACAAGGTCGTTCCCTGCGGCAAAAGAAGCTTCGCCGTCACGGAGGTAAGCGGAGAGCTGGGGGTGGAATTGTGTCCCCTCACTCCTGGTGACATTTGGGTGGCAGCTGAAAGGACCTGGCACAATGCATAACAAAGGAAAAGGCGTGGAAAATGAGTTAAAGGATGTTAAAAATCCTGCCCTGGCTCAGTGCAGTCCACTCAGCTGTGTTTGTGTCACCGAACGCAGGGATGCGGGGAGCTTGGCTCATCCTGGATTTTTTATATGCCCTGAGCACTTCTGGATGGCAGCCACTCTACCAAAGTTAGGATTTTGGGCTGGAAATGACCTGCTGAGGTCTCACTTCCGTGTAGATTTGTGGGAAATTGAAGTAAATCTCCATCCCTGTACCCAAATTGGAGGAAGTTGGCGATTATTTACGAGAAAAAGATGACTCTCACCAAAACAGCAGTTTTTCCTCAAGTTCCCCAGACTGTCAAGTGAAAAAAAAACTTCAAAAACTATAAAATATTGAGGAATCAAAAGCGCCATCAGTGCCTGAAGCTTGAAGCATAATCCCTTATGTCAGGGTCTTACACAAAGTGTGGGTTTTGTGTCCCCRYTGCTGCAGGACATGGGTAGAGCTCYGYTGGGTGCTCAGAGGGTGCAGCCAAACCCCAAAAACACACCCTGTGTTCCCCAATCATTCTCYCATCAAACAGAATCCCAGATTCCTGGGGCTCTGACTCCCATTTTTCAGTGGTCACCTGAGCATCTCATCTGCARACCTCTGGATGCTGACTAAATCACTAGAAAGCCAGAATTTTGTAGAGATATGGCAATCTATTTGGCATTTTTAATACATGATTTGTTGGGGTATTTCTGCRTGTCTGGCTGCATTTTTTACTTTTTCATTACCTTGTGTCAATATGAAATAAATTGTGTTTTAGCATCGGACATTCATAGGAAATAATCCATTTATTTTTATCCAACTTACTAATTTTTTTTTTCTTTTTTTTTCTATGTGATTAATTCAGCACAAGAAAGCAAACTTAAACAAAAGTGTGTGTTCACTGCTCTTTCTGATTTAGCTTATCTGAAGACTATATTATCACCTAAAAAAGGAATTGTGTTTTTATAACAGCGATTCCTTCAATGCCCTCCTATTACTCTAGATTTTAACACAACCTTTTAATTAAATCTCAGAGAAATTACTGTGTGGTAAKGCTGTTAATTATCCCAACTGTCTTAAAACTCAAAAGCTCTTYAGAGCAGAGGAAATTTACCTTCTTAATAATTCCCTAGTGATGTGATATAGRGAATTTCCTCTGATCATGTCTTACCCCAGAAGATGCATCTGGGGCTGGATGCTCTGTATTCATAGTCATAGAGTTAATTCCAGTTAAAAAAATTAATTTTAATTAGTACTGGTTTTCTCCCAGAACATATATGGTTGCTTCTTTGGGTTTGTAAAGTGAGGGGCATGGGATGCAAGGAGAACCCAAGGAATAGCTGCCTATTTAAATGGTAAATAGATTACCAGAGGTCCCTGATCAACAAAACATCCCTCAAGGCCTCCCAAGAAAGGGAGAGGGAGTTGGAAAAAAAAAAAATCTTAAAATTCAGATTTTGTCCTGTGAATAGTCCCATGGAATTCCTTTTTTTTTTTTTTTTTTTCTGCAGTATTGAATGGGTTTTAAGCACAGGATTTTAAGGGAGGCCTAAAGCTTGGGGTCACGACTGGGGGATTTAAAATAATTCAGTTTTTTGAGCTCAACCTCTGTGTGAAATCCAGAAAGAAGGGCAGGTCCAGGGTGGTTATCTGACCACAGTCCTTCCCTGATCCTCAGYTGCACCAGTTCAACATTCACAGCTGAGTTTCTGATCAGAAAATAAGATCCAGCAAAGCTGAGCTGAAGGATTCAGCTCGTGAAGTTCAGCCAGGGTTATGTACCAATGAGACCCAGCAATTGCCTTTTGACAGCAAGAGTCAGGCTTTGTATTTTTCTGTGTCTCTTTTTGATTAATTTGGCCTGTGAACATTCTGTACCTGTTGACCAAGAGTAATGACCCCAAAATGGGAATAGGTGCAGGTGAAATAGTGATCGGTACGGCCTTTAAATTTGTGGGATATCCATCATCCTTTTTCATCCTTACCTCTTTTAGYTGTGCTTTATTCTTATCCACCTGCCTCTCCTGCCCACTGAAGTTAATTTTTCTATAGATTTGTATGAAATCCATCTTCCCACTCATCATTTTTTACTAATCCTACACTGGGAAATTACATTTCCCATGGCARAATTCACTGCTAGCTCACCCCATCTCTCTCTGTCTGGCAGTGGGGGAGCACTTTGYTCATTCTGAATTGCATTTCAAAACAAAGTTGTCTTGGAAAGATTTGTGGTGACTTTATTTGGAGCTGGGAAAGCTCCAAATAAATAAWGAGCTTTATCAAGAAAATACAAATAAAGAAGAGCTCTTCCTGGTTCAGGGATCAACCAGACTTTTTGGAAAGGAGAGCCAAMTGTGTGTACACAGTTTCACAGCTTTTTAACAACATTTTAAAGTATGTTGCTGTTGAAACTGTATCTTYAATTTCACTTGAAAAGCTTAATATTCTCCATTTTATATTCACAATGGTCACAGGACAGCTGGAGCTGCAGAACTTGGCCTGATTCCTGCACTGACTGGCAGTTCAGTCAGATAACAACATGGAATTAAAAATTACATATTGCTGCATACCAATATCCCAGCTATTAACACCAACATCTCGCTGATTGCTTCACACAAACGGTATTTATTATTAAAATAACAATATATGGAACACAGACTGTGGAGGGACATTGCCATGAACCTCCTCCCAGTGCTGCCAAATTTTCTGTCACCCAGAAAATTGTGCTTTTCTGCTCCTCTTAAAGGTCAGCCAACAGTTTTTTTTTGGTTTTTTTTTTTTTTTTTTTTCTTTTTTTTTTTTTTTTTTTTTTTTTTTTTTTTTGTTACACCTATCACAACTCAACAGCAACTTTTCCAACCTTGAAGCTCTGGTTTATGTTTGTCCCTGGTGCACTGCAGGGGTCAAGGGAAGGCTGTGGAAACACTTCCAAAAAGGAAACAAACCACCCTGTGCTCATAAATAACAGCTGCCCATCAGTCACCTTTCACAGTGCCTCCTTGCCAAAGCATGAAAAACACAGAAAAACGGGGAAAAAAAGGGATTTTGCTGTGCCAAGACAATTTTCTTAGCTTTGCCCATGGGAGGGACTGGGAATGTTATGGGAAAGGGTCTCACAAAGGGATGTTGTGTGGAAAATGGGTGATTTCAGTGCCTTCTGGACTTCAAAAAAGTACTTTACACAGTGGTGTTGCAGAAAGGAGTGGAGGAATATTGTCTCAATCAGCAGAGTCAGGAGAAGATGTCTCCTGCAGAT